TGAAAATAAAACTCATTATTTAACCAGAGATAGTTCTTTGTGAGGATGAATTCAATAGCTTCTCTACTAAAAACTATTTAAAATAACGACACTACCAAACATTTTTACAAAATATGGAATCCCTGGTTCTTGGAACAGGGGATCCTTCACTAAAGGTTGCAGTTGAAGGAAAACCGTAAAACCCAGTCTCTCGCAAAACCCAACTCCACGTTGTCCCTTCCTCACCCTATCTTTTTTTTTCTCTTTCTTGCTCTCTCATCCACTTGCCTCAAGGCAGCTTGAGGGACAAGCCCATACGCCAGCTCCAAAACTGAGCTACATAATTCATGTCACAAGACACACCATGCTTTATTCTTGCAACATTCAATGAAAGCGAACTGTGTCACATAACTGTCGGTTCCCATTCATGGATTTCTGGTAACACGATCTGTTACGGACCGTTTTGCCCAAAAGAGGTTAAAAACCGTTTAGGCGATATTCCCCTTTTTCAACTGCAAGCACCAGTCTCCTGAACTGCAAACCCACGAATTCACCAACTCCCGAATTGCATACCAAGGGAATACTCGAAACACCCGAACTGGAGACACACGAATAGCTGCTAGCAGATGAACAGGAAAAGCCCCCAAGCGGCTTACACTCCTGGCAATCTCTAACAGCATGCAGTAAATCCTCCCCCAATAATGAGACGACACTTCACTTTGAGGGTTAAGCAGGAACAGATTTACTGGGGCTAACTGTCCGGCTTTTATGCAGGTCTCCCACCTGGTGGACACTCCCCTAGGGGACCAAATGGGAGACTGGGACACAAAGGGTAAAAGGACCAATCACAGACTTACACATTTCAACCATCCCACAATGCATCACAATCCCTCCTCTTTGCTCTGTAGATAATTGAGAAGTAATTCAATTATCTCCAAAGACAGAGGCAAAACTCCATTAACCACATGGCAGAAAACAAACAGTAAAAGACATAAAATTACCTACAGTTACATTTAGTACATAAAACATACGTTCTACATATCCCCAGATAGCTCAGGTCTGAGCGCACATTATTAAGCGAATGGCGCTCCGACCACACGAATACAGTTTAATCGCCATGGAGCCAAAGTCTTTACACAGTCAGTTTCATGTGAATGGGCTCCATGGGATTCCTATCTGGGGTACAACACACTCAAACAAATCTACCGAACACCCGGCAGAAAAGCACGAATAAGTCTTTTCTGCAGGGAAAAAGATGTCTTTTAACATGGGGCCATAGTCCAAAAGCAGCAGGCGAGCAACCAGGCTTCTCCAGTGTACAGTGGCGAGGTTGGTTTCGCCACACGATCTAAGCTTCCTCCTTGGTGCACATTCGTGAGGCTTACCAGCTGCTGAAAGTAATAAAAGTTCAAA